ATAAAATATTCAAATGGAAATTGTTAATTTTTGAAAAACTAAAATTTTAGTCCATCGTTAATCTATTATAATAGTTTGATTTCGAGTATTTAGAGACTGAGTAGGTATATCCAAAATAAACTATTAATATCCATGAAAATCTAGAGTGGGACGGCCTATTCGAATTCTAAACCTATAAGTGATTGAGTGGATAAGGTAAAATAATGTGTATGATGTTGTCCGAAGCCCAGAACCAAGTGGTTTTCATTACTTAGGCCTCAGACATTTCTTTCTCAAAATTTTTTTTGCAGTTTTCGCCGTATTATCCTAATAAATTTGAGTCTCAGTGCTTATTATCAATTTTCGTTTGTTGTTTTGACTTTTGTAACAAGAGTAACGGATTGTTTGTGCTCGGCGTGGTTTTTTTTCTGCAGAAAAACCTCGACTTTTTAATCAACCATTCATGACGGGTTTCTTATATCATTCAAAAAATATTATTGTTCTGTGCTTAAATCTGATAAAATGTCTTAACTGTGATCATTTTTCGAAATGTTATGGGAATTTAAATGTTTGGGTCAATTGAATTTCGATATCTTCCGCGCGATTAACGCGTAAGCGGAGGTTAAATCCGTTTTGGGAATCCGTTAAATCCGTTTTGGGAATCCGTTAAATCCGTTTTGGGAATCGTTCAAAATTGGTTGACGGAAGCTTATTTGCAATATTTGATCTGTTAATGAATGATCAAAATTTATCACTTTTACAAATGATTTTTAAATGAAGGCGTAATGATTTCTACAAAAAATTCTCAAATTAAAAAAATCGTTTTATTTTACATTTAATTTTTTCATGTTTTTACTGCTTCATAGACCTTAAAAGGCAGTCGGAATATTCAGGGTTTTATTTGAAGTTTAAACACGTTTTAGAAGGAAACTGAAATGAATTAATTTATTCTTAGGTAATTTTGTACAATCTTGTATGCTGTTCATTTTTACCCGTATTTATTGTATTGTATTGTTGCTACATTTGCTGTTTTCAGAACTTTTGCTGTTCGATGCCTAAAAATGGATTGAACTTATTGGCCCGAAAAAATACTAAGAGTCCAAAGAGTTTGGTTGTAATGCAGGTTTATTTTTAACCGGTAACATTTAAATGCAGGTAACATTTAACTGATAGTTTTAGAGATTTATATACAACATTACGAAGCCAAACTGTGCACTACAGAGACAAGTCTGTAAACATGTCAAAATGTTGTCGGAACTTTTGCAGAAATTTTTCTCATACCTTTTTAGCTTTGTTTGCTGTTGTATTTCATGCAGTTAATATCTCGTTATTTGGGCGTTAAAAAACTGCAGGTGAGAACTTATTGTTTTGAGCTTGATGAGATGTGAGTTGCAAGTTTGTGTAATTTTCAGGAATAATTATAGAATTTTATCGCTATGAGAACTGGTAGACATGAGTGGGTTAGACAAAAAATTTGATTAAGGTTGTAATGACTTTTTGATCAATGTCGGAGTAACTGATTTAAGGTTGCAAAAATAGGGCCTGAAAATTTGCCCCAAAACAGATATTTCTTGGCTTCTTCAGTCAATCAAAAATTACGCTACAACTACCATTTCAATAAAAAACTCCGATATTTTATTTAAAAACCATACGCGCAAAATTTAAGAGCTTGTATCTTTAATACATTTTGTTGAGCTTAGTAGGATAAATTTTGGCAGTAAAAGAACAGGTAGTTGTTAGCAATATTTTATTGACTCAAAAAGTCAAAAACTAACCGTTTTGGGCCCGAGATTTGCAAAACATTTTAAACTATATCAATTCTGCTAAAATTGTACGCAAGTTTTGTTGCTATCGTCTTTTACTTAATTTTAACTCAATTTGAAAAAATATATATATTTTTATTTGACAAGTTTTTTGCGTTTCGTCCAGATAATTTGAATCAGCACTGTGGTGTAAAAAGCATTAAAGATGGTTTACCTGCACCAACCATTTGCAGTTTTTTGTATCGCTTCGTTTTGGATGTTTGTGTCTTTAACTAAACGTGTTCTGAGTTTTTAGAAAATTGATTTTGGGTATATAGTTCTTTGTAACTTCTGTTCCAGTATCTGTTTTTAATAAGTCGCGCAAATCGAGTTTCGATATTCAATAATCATTTTGTTTGTTTCATTATATCTGTTGCATTGTGGCACTGGGTTAAGTGCTGCAAAAACCTTAAATGCGTCTACAGTGGTTTTTGAGAGTTTGCCTGCTTCGGAGGGTGCTGAAAGTGTTCCATTGTATCTCAAGTGATATTGAAATTCAAAAAACAATCTTTATTGTTTGAAACAATTTTTTTAAATGTAATTGATGTATTTTTTCTTGAAGTACTTGGAATGATAGGTTGAGTAATTATAACTTTGAAAAAAATTTTTGACAACTTTTTCAGAAAATAATTTTTGACATCATTTTTTCTTATGTAGTTTATGTATTTGAAAATCTCAACTTATTTGTTTCACATTGTTTGATTTTCGTTTCAGTTTTAACTTCTTCTTTAAAAACCTAAGATTCAGAAAACTGATTTCGGTTTCTACTTTGATGATTGATATAATCTGTTTAAAATATGTTACTCAATAGTTAAATTTTGCAAATCAAAATAATTGGTTTTACTAGGACACAATTCTAGCAATTTGAGAAAATAAAAGAAACAAATGAAAAAAAGTTCATTTTTTTTTATCTGGTTATGCAAAGCCGAACTAGTTTAGCGTTACACTACACAAACGCTTTATAGCTATCGTTAAGTATACCAAATTAGCCAGACTACTACTGTTCAAACCCCCGAACTTCCGAGAAACAATCACAGATGAGTTCTCTCTCAATAATTCAGTCCAGGACAATCGCATCTTTCAGATACTATAAAAATTTCCGTCTAAAATTTGAAGTTTGATGAAAAAACTGACTGGTCTGATATCAGGGAGAAAGCCCCTGAGAATTTTGATTTCAATTTAAATCCAATTAAAACAATTTTCTTTCAAAAAAATTATTAAAATACGAGCTATCTAAAATACAAAGGTGTAGGTTTAGCAACTCCGTTTTTGAACTTATCAATCAGGAGCCTGCACCTTCTAGAAGAACGCAAAATATCGCGTGCTTTCTATCTTAAATTGCCAAAAATTAGAATTTTAAACCCAAAACTTTATGAAAATAAAAATTATAATAATACATAAAAGTACATATAAAAAAAATTCAAAAATTGAACGAAAAAAAAACTACACCAAGCGTATGTTTTCCGTTTTCTGCAAAAAGTAGAACAAAAAGCCACCCCAAGTATTAATATTCAGTCACTTTCTTCAAAAGAAGAAAAAATAACAAAAAGTTTATTTAATGCTTTGGCAATTTTTGGCTGCATATAATTTTACTATAATTCGATGAGGATGTTACTTGTGTATTTTTGGTTGAACCCCGCTAAATGAGGAAAACTGAGATTGATTTTTTTTTATAACGAAATTGGATGGATATTACAAACAATGCAAGATATTAAAATAGGACCGATCAAAGCGAAGCATTTTGACTTAATTTAGCTTCAAAATATTTTTTCTCATTTCTTTTTGCCGTTTTCTGCACATAAATTTCATAAGAATTATACCAAATGAGCTTTAAATTTTCGTTTAGTTTGCAGTTTTTGCCCTTTTTTGCTTGTTTTAACGCTCAGGTTTTTAGCATAGAATTTCAAAGTAAGCTCAGTCCTATTTTCGTCTGTCATTTTCATATCCATATTTTATTATAAGAAGGGTATGACCAAAAAAGCCCGGTAAATCCGTTTTGGTTCTAACTATTTGAAATTGGGGATAAACTTTTTATTCGGGTGTGTTTTAGTTTTTCCTATTTTTTTTGTTTTTCCGGGATAATCAGCTATCACAAATAATCATGGGAGAGAGTTGAGTCAAATATAATATTAAAGCCTTTTAGTCGCAATTCGAGTTTTCACAGTGTCGAGGAAAACCGGTACATTTTTTTCCAGTAAAGATTTCCCAGTGATGAGAAAAACGGTTTGAACTTTTTGCTTTTTCGTCTAAAATCCAGCGAGTAGAGCAAACGAGCACGGTTATTTGTGCTTACTTATTACGAAAAGCCTTTTAAAGTTGCTTATTTATGCTTAATTATGATTTTACTCAAGTAAAATTAGTTTTTGAAGGTTTTAATGCCATCTGGAAAAAAATTCAAAACAAAAGACTATGGTCGGAACATCCTGTGCTACCTGCACAGAATACGGCTATCTTTGTCAGAGGCGGTTCTAGGACCCTTTTCTCTCGAGGCGAATTTTCAAAAAAAATCACAAATTTTGTCGACCTTTTTTTTGTTTTTGGGTTGATCAAATTATTGATTTTCCGAACGCCCCCGGAACATTATAAAGACCCTATTTTGACCAAAAATTTTGCACCACACGCAAAACTTTGAAAAAACAGGCCAAAATGCCGTTTTTGGGCACTTTTTGGAAAATTTTGACAAAAAAATTACGGTGTTTCGGCGTGCGCTCCTGTTCAAGATAAGTATATATTAGCACCAATGGCGCCTTTACAAAAAAAAAGGGTTGGATGTCCTAAAAAAGAGGTCATAAAGTATAATACTAAAGAAAGGACCCTTTGGTTGGTGAGGGGGTGAGGGGTCGAATCCCTGTGGGGGGAGGAGAGTCTCCCCCCCCCCCTAATTCTGAACCCCCCCCCCCCCCCCCCCCCCCCTAATTCTGCCCCTGACCCTTGTTACATTGTATATTTAGATGCCATTTTCATGCAATTTAGGATTGAAAAAAAATCGTAAATCTGTTCAAGTTTTCATTATTTACGGGTTTTCAGTTAGGCAAAACTCTAACAGAAGCACTTTAAATTTTTCATCAGTGGCTTGTTGGAATTTTGATAGTTCGTTATTTTGAACAGATTCCCCCAGCTGAAAAGACTGAGGGAAAGGCACAGAAATGTAGTACTACGGATTTAAATCAGCCAATGAGAAAGAAGCGTTTAAAACTGCATTTAATTCCAAACATAAATGCAAATGCAAGCATAAATTCTTAATTCTTTGCCGACATTTTCAAGCTCTGACAGGAATTTGTTTTACAAGGGATATTAAAATAGTGAATTACTTTTTATGTTCCCATTTTATGTTCACCACACAAATTTACCTGTTCAATAATAATTTTGGTAGCTTGTTTAAAAAATCATTTTTAAATCTTAGATCGCGGCTTTTAACTTCTTTGATCGATAAAAATGACTTCAGTTGTTTCAATTTAACTTTCATCATTTGGCTCTTAAAATCTGGAAAAAAAACCTGGTAGTTATTTTGACAATAAACATCTTTTTCTTATTTTATGAAAGAAACATTTTTTACATTAATTTTACATTTATGTAAGTTTTCTTTGCTGCTATTGAAAGCTTTCAGAAAGTAATTGAATCGTTCGATCATGGTTCGCAGTGAAAACATCACGCATCGTTTAAGTTATGGCGTGTGACTTGTTTTTCAAACGAATTCAAAACAAAAACATCGTTCTTAGTACCTGGATTCTAAATTTATTACCATTTGTTATTTTACGCCAACAAAACTCACCTAGTTTTCTCAGTTTGATTATACACTCGATCAGTTTTTGGCTAATTAACTAACTATTTATCTTTTATTTATACGTTCTAGAGTTAGTTCATACACCTGAAAAAATCTCGAAAACCTTCAGTTTTCAGTTGTCAAAACTGCCATTCAAAAAATTTGACTGAAAAAAAAAACGTCGCTGTTGCAGAGAAATTCAATCTCTGTGCAGTTTTTTTCAGACTGGACAAATTCAGTGGGGATTGAATCCCGGTATTTGTTTAAAGGAATTCATTAGGCATTTATAATAACCTATAGACAGACATATCTGAATAATTAACTGTAGCAGACATGGCTTTACTACCTGTGCTTAACTGCCAATCTTCAGCCAAGGTATTGATGCTTTTATTACTTGTGGTCGTGCAAATTGTGTGGACAGAGCCAGTGGCCAAGAGATCCACATCTAAGTCATCGTCCGGTGGTAAGTTCAAAATTGGAGTAAATGTCTCAGAATCATTGATTTCCTCAAAGCAGAAATCATCATGCAAAACAAAATTTCATATCTTACAGTATCAAAGCTATTGTGATATTTCGCAACCCATTTCAGATCTGAATTCGAACATTTACTAGGTATGTCACACTGCTTTCCATCACACTACCCAGTTGACAAAATGCTAATAATACAATTCCTATTTATCGAAAAATGCTGTTCATACAATTGAATCAACTAAAAATGGTACAATTATGATAGCTGGGTCCCAAAAATTGGTCCCTGAAGAAACTCTTTGCGTTTAAAATCTTCGGAAACATGCTCAGTGAACATTTGTTTACTTGTGTCCTCTAAATAGTCTACACAATCGCGGTGTGATAAAGGTTTCTCCGAACAAGAATAGTAGTATATTTGTGACAAACAAAGTGCTCTCAACCATCAAAGTTAAACTGGTTGAAAAGTTCCAAAAATCTTTTTTCAATTTTTTTGACATATTTTATGGGAAAAAGCTTATCATACAATCTGTCATAAGTAGAAATTGTACTTTTTCACCCTAAGCTATTTTTCATCTAAATAACAAAATCATTCATAGATGACCAGGAACCTTCAAGAGAGTCAAACAGATGAAACTGTTGTTTTTGTGTTAAAAGTCGCTGGATTGACAAAAATCAAAAATAATTGTCATACATTTCCATATTATGGAAAAATTGCTTGTCATACAATTCTTTGCAAAAAATGGATGAAATTCACCTGATACGCATTTTTCCATAAAATTGAATTGTATGATAGGCAGTTTCTCCATACTATGGAATTATATGACAAGCCTTTTTTCTCTAGAAACCAAGCATGAAATTGTATGACAAGCATTTTTTGTATGGAATTGTATGATAAGCTTTTTTTGTATGGAATTGTATGATAAGCTTTTTTTGTATGGAATTGTATGATAAGCTTTTTTTGTATGGAATTGTATGATAGATAAGCTACGTGTTCATATGAAGGTCAACCCAGGTCTGTAAAAACATGGATCAAAATGTGAATGAATACTTCGTTTCTATAAAATTTGAACCTATCGCTCAATTTCCATATGATGAAGCAGCTCATTCAAATTCAGGGGAGGATGTAGAGGGAGGGGGGTGGGGCGGCCGTTTTTTTTCTGAGGGATTCGACTCTCTGCCGACCCAAACGGTCCCCCTTTGTACTATTTTGAGATATCCATTCTTGGTGACGGACCCTAAAACTTTTCTAAAGGCCCCTCGGCGCCAATATATACTAATTTTGAGGGGGGAGCGCGCGCCGAAAAAACGCGATTTTTTGTTCGAAATTATCGAAAAAGTGCCTAAAAACGTCTTTTTTGGCGTATATGCGGCGCAGAAAGTTTGGCCAAAATAGGGACAAAACAGTGCTTTGGGAGAGCTCGAAAAATCAATTTTTTAGACCTCTCTTTGGGAGAGCTCGAGAGGTCTAAAAAATGTCGACAAAATTTTCGAAAATTTTTTGGAAATCCGCTTCCCCCCCCCCCCTCCTCGTGAAAATCCTAGATCCGCCCCTGTTCAAATTTTTAGATTTTCAAAATTTATATGTCGGCAATTTTTCAAAACTGGAAATTTTTTCAACCCGCTAAAACATGAAAAATTATCACAGCTGAAATACAATTTTTATTATTTCAAGATATTAATATCTTCCAGACTTTATTGAAAAGATTCGAAAAAATTGTTTTATTTTACAAAATGGATTTTTTCTTGTCAAAAGCACCCCCGAGCAACATTTTATTTTGATTCAAAATTTCAGCCATGATATGAAAAATGTACTTAGTTGAATTTTTTTTATTTTTTGGTGAACTTTTGGCTATTTTTGTGTATAGATGGTTTGGGAGCCAATTTACAATTTTTAATCTCTGCGGTGTCTGTGTTTAGCCTCAACGCACGTTTGTTTTCAGTCGAAATTTTTAAAAATTGCTCGTAAACGCCATTTTGATCTAAAAGTTTCCTGCAAAATGGAAAAGTGTGGCAAAATAAAAGTTGATAGGTGGTACGACGAGAAATGTTTACTACACATTGGCCACAGAGGCAAAGTTACGGGTCGTATTAAATCTGCACCTTAACAACGGGTTTGGCTTGTCGTCTGGTCGCGCTGGCACCTTCTTGTTTTTGCATTTTGTTGACTCAGTTTTAAGAGATAAAATCACTATAACTTCGTGAAACATGTTTGCTGCGGAGTTTTTGAGGTCAAACTTCGTTCTAAACAACAACAAAAAATAAACATGTTTTGTTTCCTTTCAAAACTGTTGAGGCAAAGTTTGGTTTTAAAACCCGCTTATACTTTTCTTGCAACTCGATTGGTGATTTTGACATGGTTTATTTGCTTCCAGCTCAAATTCTCGCGGCGTTTTCTTTGTTTTTTATTTAGCTTTTTATGATCCGCAACTGAATCAAAACATTTGCTGTTGAATTATGACGTTTTCTTTGGCGATTAGCAAGTTGTTTATCAAAATTGTGCAACTAAGTGTAAAGTTGAAAGGTCGGAAGTCTTAAAGCCCAGAAGTCTTGGGGAATCATTCATAAAGGAACTGTCTAATTAAGAACATATTTAGACAAGGTATGTTTGCAATCATTATTTGGGTACCTGAACTCCGTGGCATGATTAGAAACGTACCAATTTGGCTTTAGATTCAAGATATGTTTGCCTTGGGTTGAAAATTCAATAATGGTATCCAATGGTTAAGTGTTTATCGCAACTTGCAGACTTTGTTGAAAGAGCATTAGTTGTGTTTAATCCTTTATTTGCTTCTCTGCTTGAGACTTAAGACCTGGTTTTAGATTCCAATTATTATGTCGGTGTGATTGAATGGTCCCTGTACTCGATTTTATCACAAATCGACTGGAGATTCGATTTATTGAATTAGCTACCAAATCGCTTGTACAACCTTGTTCAATTAGCTTCATTCAAAAAGTATTCCATTTTTAACTTTTTCCCAAATTTGTAACTATATCCATTCTATCAGGTTTTTAGATGTTTATTGATTGTTGGGGGGAGGGATAAGGGAACTTAAAGTAATTGTATAAAGTATTTGCTTCCGTCCAATCGATTTTCTCATGAAACACTGCTGAACAAATTTCCGCTCAGGAAATCTAACTGGAGTACTTTTATCTTCAGTTGGTCAGTTTTTTTGAGTGAAAACAAGGATAAATAGGTCAAAAAGTTGAAAAATGTTTCTGCTTTAACCTAAATTGCCTTTTTCAGATTTAGAACGAGACCATTTTACTAAATATGATCTACTTGTAAATCTCATTGCGTTTAGGGAGGGGAAAATGAATTTTTGATTAGTTTTTATTTTTACTTCTCAGTTAGACGCCAAGTCGTCTTGTTTTGCTTTTTTGCTGGTTTTGTTTTTACAGTCTTCAAAATAAAAACATTCTGTTGTCTGCAAACGTTTAAACACAACGGAAGTGTTTTACAGTATTTGGTTAATATGCAAATATATTTATGTGTCTTTTCAGCGAAGATGTTGTCTTGTTTAAGATTATTAATAAGAAGTTTAGATCGGGCACCTGTTTTTCCTTCCCCCCCCCCCCCCGTTGCACTCAGCCATTGCAAGGGGGACGTGATACAAAATTCGAATATGCTTAGCCATCGAGCTAGTCCTTGATAGGAGTGAAACCTCCTATTTAGATACCATAGGGGGGGGGGGGGTAATTAACAAGATCCAAGATCGGTCGGTCAGTTTGCCTAAACTGATAGGTTACAGGAGTTGGTTGATGGTAAACACCATCGGTCACGTGGTGTATTTATGACCGAGCTCATTGTTCTTTATCGACTAACGGTCTGTTTAGTTAAATGGCCATTCATCAATGTCAAAATGTGTCAAATTCAACTCAGAATACCCTTGTTTTGCTATTCTGCTATTCGAAAGCAACAGCAAAATGGGCTGAAATGAGACCGCAATTTTGGTGCCGATTTTGACTGCAAGTTACACAAAGTGTGTAAATTGTGTCAAATAGGTATGATTAATCATGGAGCAGTTAAGGAAAAAGGAATTTGCCAGACAGGTATTCAGAATTCCTGCGTGTATTACTGCTTTGAAAAGGAAGCAGGCTTGACTTACAAAAGCTATCAATCTTTATCTCGTTACTTTTTCCCTTCCGTGGAGCGAAAGAGCCTTGGGGTTGGATTTCAATTTGGCGGGGCTAAAAAATTAAATTATATATAGCATAACATGTAATACATCCTTTTCCATTTTGCAACACGTTACATTTGTCTGAATAAATATAAAAAAGATATCTAGAATTGAAATAAACAGAAATATTTTTCTGTTACTGTTAGCCTGGTGGAGAAAAAAATTTAAAAAGCTACCTGTTTTCATATGCTTATTAATGCACAAAATGAAATTTTTATAATTTGTCCCTGTGGTTTAATGTGCGAAACAAACGAGGCATAATCAAGGCTCTGAACCTCTCGATGTTTCGCTATTTTAATGTACATTTCCATTCCTTGTAAATTGCAAAAAAGCTCTTTTATAGTCATAAAAATCAGTTGTTTCATGGACAATAAAGTTAATCGTCCTTGAAATTTTCTTACAAATGAAAAATGGAAAACAAAAGAACTAGTGGCTTTTAGTTCTACGGAACACGGCCTTATCCTTCTATATCCTTGCGTACAGCCATGAGTTCGATACCTGTCTCGGAAAAGAAGAAGAAAATGTTGGGTAGATAATTTTCAATCTGACTCAGACACAAGGTAGATGACTGTTACAAAAAGTCACGTTCAACCGTACAGTGCTCAATATGAAGAAGAATCACTTAAGCTACAGAGTTAAAAGCCTAAAAATTAGGGCATTTAGAAATATAATATAATAGTATTCGAAGAACAGCTGGATATAAAGTTGAATTTATTTGAAAAGTTAGTTTGTGTTGGAAAACTAAATTTTTGTTAATGAAAACTCGTGTTGGTTGAAGCATCGGAAATTTAATTGTATTTTTTGTTATATTAATTTCCTCGGCATCTTTTCATTCAGTTGTGTTCAATCGTCAAATATATTTTAGTACATGCCAGCGTGACAGGAAAACAATGTGTAAAATTTTACCCTTTTGGGCGAATTCTAATTTGCTCTTAATGAAATTCAAGTCCCTTCCTCTCCAAATGCCTTCCTTTGCCTCATTCTTATTTCCCATCTTTTGTTTTCCACTAATTTCGAACAAAGTCGAGCATTCAGTTTAATGATACTGGTGCCATATTTGACCCAGGGAACAATGGACTCTGTTCAGATTACCAGACTGTAAAATAACAGGGGGGGGGGGGGGGTTCATTCATGCGTGCAATGCATTACTGGTTGTCGTTTTTTTGAATGGTGTTTTACGACCCTAGTTACGGATAATTTATTAAGCATGATGTATGCAATCAAATCAAAAAACAAGACAAAATTGTCGCTTCTATCCATTGTATAGTATTTCATTTGCTAGTTTTAAAAAAGACTTCTTTTGCTAATTTAAACTGTTCAGAATAATATATACAAAACAATGTTTTTTTTTTGGGTACAGAAAATGGTTTTGTTCTTTGCATTTTTTGTAGTTTCATGTCGTTATTTTGTGGTTCATTTTACATATGTTACCTCAGAATTTAATAAAACGCAACAACAAAAAGCCATTCTAATGGTTTCCTCTTAAACGTAACGTTTCTTTAACTAGTGGACTTGACACATTTTTGTCACAAGACAAACCCTCGACACATTTATTCACACTTGTCGAGAAATGACATAATAATATAGACTGGTGACATAATTAAACAGCAGCGCTACTTGTACGTTTGTTTCATCACATGGAAAGTTGGTCGCTCCGTTTTCAGAGCTGCCAAATGTCAGTTGACCGTGTCAAAGTAATCTACTTTACGACAGTGTGCTCTTTCGATATTATTAAAGTTTAACGGAAACATTGTCTTTCAATTTTCATATTTTTAATGTTGACGTTTTTACTCCATAATATTATGAGTCATAATCATAAATTAGGTCAATATGTGCTAGGTGCAAGACAAGATTTCTTTTCCAAATTGACACTTCCCAGTTTAGTTCTGTTTTTTCCTCATTATTTATACCTTCTTTCTGTTTTCCACCTGATGGGAAAATTAATTAGGCCCCGGTGAATAGAAACAAAGGGGGAAAAGAGGAAGTTCACAAGTGGAAAACAGATTTAAAGGACTAGATGAGTTTTATTACTCATCATAAACTTATACTAACAGGTTGAAAAAATTCAGTTCAATAATTTCCTAAAATACAAAAAAGACGGGAGTAAGATAACAGATTTAGTTGGTGGCTCAATTTAGGTTAATGTTTTTGATGCTTGGTGAATTTATTGGGCCAATTATTTGCAGAAGCGTATAATTTTAAACGTCTTTTATGATTTTCCTCGCCCGAAAAAACCGGCTAAGCCTGTCCCATTGCGATCGAAATTTACCATAAAGTTAACCAAATGGGGGTGATTTTGGGGGCGCGCTAATTAAAGGGTGGGGTTTATGTTGCTCCCGTTCTCTTAATAACTCCCATCTTTCATCGGGTTCTTTTGTCCCCGTAATTCAGCCTAGACCCTCCCACGATTGAAACTCAATGGAGAGACCTACTACCGGTATTAAACACTTATGCTTGACTAATCCCATTTAGAGCAAATTCCCACAGGCTTCGCTCAGAAACTTGAAGCCCCGATTGGTCCCTTAATTGAACTTGCCTTTGCAAATCACCCCTCCCCCTGCTGCAGCCACGATTATGGGTAGAATTTCCGAGCTCTCCTTTTAAAAAAAAAGGGATTGGACTACCTTCAAGGATCGTATTTAAGTTTAAATTTTGAACGTGGGTTCTTTTTCCCTCCTCATCCATGAGGTATCAGATCTGCTTCCCATGTAATAAGATAGTGGCTACTCGCTAATTGAATTCCCATTTATTTTTGATGCAGTTATCTTCAGATGGCTCTGACGGACAGGAAAAAGTGATAAGATGTGAAGAAAATCTTCAGCAAAGTAAAGCAAGAAAGTGGAAAAATCCTGCCGGTCATTTTTATGTTATTGTCACTTAATGTATTGACAACGGAACATGTGCAGGCAAAGGATTCTTTATCTTTTTGCTCCGACTTTCTTAACAAAAGTAACGGAATATTTGTGTTCGGGTGGTTTTTTTTCTTCAGACAAATTTCGACTTTTTAACTAGCCATTTTTGACGGAATTTTTTATATCATTCAAAAGGTATTGTTGTCCCGAGCTTAAATTTGAAAAGATATTTTACCTGTGAGTATTGTTCGTAAAGTTATGGGGGTTTAAAGGTTGCGATTTTGGCCAATTTGGGACAATTAACGCGCGATATATTTTGCGCTATTAACGCGTAAGCGGAGATTTAATCCCTCTTAGAAATCGTTCCAAGTTGGTTGAAAGAAGCTTATTTGCCATAATTGATTTGTTACTAGGGGCGAAATTTATCACTTTGTACTTTATATGGCGTGTGGGGGATAATTTTCTCAAAAAAAAAAAATCTTTTTTTTTTATTCTTTTTTTTTGTTAAGTTTAATTTTTTTAAGGTTATTAATGCTCCACAGGGTGCAGTACAACAGTGCCGAAAAAAACTAATTCAACAGTGCTGAAATTGAAAACTTTGTTCAACAGTGCCAAAAGTATGAACAAATATCAACATATTAAGTGCGGCAATCAAAAATTAAACGGCGAACGTTTATAATCTTAAAAGACACTTAAAGATTTTAAGAGAGAAAATTTGCAGTTTAGACGTTTTGGCGCATAAATAATTGATTAATTTGCAGTTCCAGACATTTGGCGTCGAAATTGGAGTGATTTTTTAAATAATTAGCGTCAGTAATTTCCTGCGCTTTAGAAATGCGTTAAAGTAATTCTGAAAATTTCCCGCCTTTTTCGGCACTGTTGTACTTCGGTACCGTTGAACGCCCCCCTCCATAGACCTTAAAAGGCATCGCCCTGATACGAGCAGTCTTGTTGTTCCGACTTTCGAAGAAAACGGAACATTTATGTTCGGTGTGGTTTTTTTATTCAGTCAATTTTCACCGAGCAAACTAATAATTTTCAACAAAATTTTTTATACCCCAATAAATATATTGACTTCCTGAGTTCAAATGTAAAATGATACTTCACCTCCGATATTTTTTGTGAACTTCTGAAGGTTTGAAAAATGCCAAATTTGCCAGATTCTGAACTAAATTATGCGCGCTATGAAGAGTTTATTCATAATGCTGCGAGCGTGACGCGAATTATTTGTGCGTGGCGAATTTTCCCGCGCAACAAAATCGTTCCTAATTGAAATGAGGCTAGCTAATTTCGTACGAATCTAAATATTTTGACTTGAATGTTGTCCAAAATGTATAGATTTTCAATATTTTCTTTTCCCAAAAAATATTCGATATGAATTATGGGACAGTCGGAACATTCGGGGCTTTGCCCTGATATACGAGCTTTCTTTTTTGATTTTACGAATCTTTTTCATGTTCTGTTAAAAATTGGTGTGGATAGTATGAATGCCATTAAATCAACGTTTTTTTTCGTATAAACTATCGTAAATATTAATTTTGAAAAAGATTCAGGTGCAAATATACAACTGGTTTTACAATTTATATCAATTAGAATAAATTGGTTTAATTTAGCTTGATATGAAATATCCAGTTCTGTTGTGTTTCATAATGAAAGCAAATTGTATTCAACAAAAAACGTCTTACAGGTTACAGAGTCTTACAGTATCTGTTCAATATATCCGATATTTTTGTTACAGGTTGTGGCGGAACTCTGACAGGTGTAGGGGGCGTGATCGAGTTCCCCTATGGACTGACCAGCACTCAAAGTTCACAAGTTCACTGCACATGGATAATCATGGCTCCTGAAAGCCACTACATCCTTTTTCACGCGGAGAGCTTCAGTATTCCTAAGGAACGCTTTTCAGGTAACCTGAAATTTACTTGTTTTATTATTGCCAGAAAGCTTTTTTTTCATGAGTAGTCAGTTAAATAACACAAGTTCGTATCACATTCATTTGCTCTTTCATACCACGTGAAATTTAATTGAAACAGAACATGTTCACTTTTCGTTCACATAAATGCAATGTTTTCAAAGTTTGTTCATTCACATTTCCAGTGTTGATTTTTCAGTGTGTGGAATTGTAAATTCTAATTGAAGGTGTTGTTTTTAATGTTGCCACAATTTGATTGACGTTGTCAATAAGGTGTCAATTTGGAATGAGTAGCAACACTTTCTAATTGGCTTCCGCTGTAATCGCTCACTGGCTATTATGCCCTCGGGTATTTTGGGGAAATATTGCTCAAAAATCTGAGTTAAGGAATTGATTTCTAGGAGGACATTTGTCGGGATTAGCATAGCGCATTATCCCTGCGAGCATGAATCAATGTACTTTTTAAAAGTTTTTTGGGGAATTTTTTAATCGGACTCATTTTATATCTGGATTGAAATTTCCTTGGTTGAAAAAATCTGCTTTCTTTCCCAAATTTTAAAATCCATAATTGGAGAAACACAAAAAGTGGAACGACAGAATATTTCTGTACCAGTATTTAAATGACATTTGGATTTGACTATTGAAATTATTCGAAAAGTGTAATCAATAAAAATAATTGGAACTTGGACTCATCTTTAGTAGCGCTTCGTTTTTTATTAGCAATAAATAGTGTCATTTTCCTGAAGTGATTTTACCGTGTCATTAAGAAAATTAATGAAGGGAATCATTCCCAATTTAAGTGCTCAGTTGTTGCTCATACAAAGGGGAGTGAGTGGGACTTCCACGCCTTCAATCAGAGCTCTCGCAACATTCAACTTTGTGAGAAATTGAAACAAAAAATGAGCTAAAAAATGTGAATTTATTTACCTCCCAAATGTAATATGAATATGATTTATATTCATATCTCATCCTGTATGCAAAAGTTGAATGCTCTCTCATATCATATACATCACTTCACTTTTTTCATTTCCTCTCACAGATAGATGAGTAAAAAATTCAAATTAGATGAATTTTATAAATTTCAACAAGTTATAAAAGAAAGCAACTGCAACATATTGAAAGGTAAAAAGTAGTCTTTTGAAATAGCGCTGTGGGCATACTGTATTTTCACTGAAAAGATTTTTGTTTAGAAATCAATACTTTTAGTACAATTCCCCGGATAGAAGTCTGCTAGACAAGACATCATATAGCCTGCCTCTATTTGGCTTAGCTCTTCTCAGCGCCATAGTAAAACCCCCTTTATCCATTTTCTCTCGGATCTAATTGGATTTATAAACTGAAGTATGGGGAAAGAAAACAGACTAAATTAGAGCAAAATGACTCAGGAATTTACATTCATGTCATAAATTGAAGTACTCTCCACGTTGAAAAGTATTGTTGGTACAGGTAAATTAAAGTCACAAAATTATTGCCTGAAATCTGATTAACGGATACCATACAAAGTGTGACAGGCAGAGTTATCAATCAATTTACAGGAAATTATGTTTTTTATTCCTTGAAAATGCATTAGAATAGTATGTGATATTGGCAGGTATTTTTGATCCTTATTTCTATGAAAATGGAAGATTTTTTTGCTTGGGGTGGTTTTTACTATTTTGACTATTTTTGGCGCTCGAATTATTAGTTTTCAACAAATAAATTTTTATGGTTGAAAAATTGCCAGTTTGGGGGTTCGAAAAATTTTAACAGTTTTAACAATTTTTAACAAGTAATTTTTGACAGCAAGTTATGTGGGTTTAAAGATTTCAAATGTAGCCAATTTAGGATAATTTTATATTGGGCGATATATTTCGGGTTATACGAGCGACATATTTCGGACTATTAATGTTTAAGTAGAGATATAATCCGTCTTAGAAATTGTTCCAAAATGAAATGAAGCATTTAATAATTTGCTATAAACAAATTGTTTCTTTTTGTACTTAACATAGCATGTAGGGGAATGATTTTCAAAAAAAAAATCTCAGAAGAATATAAAGAACATAAAGGAATTCGCCTTGATACCAGCAGTCTTGTTATAGTTCACCCTAATTCGATTTCAGAAGTTCAGCTTTGATTTCCAGATTTAAATAGCTTAAACTTTTTTTCAGAGAATCAATTTGATTAAAGTTCTTAATTTTTGTATCAATTAAAAAGAGCTATGCAAATACGAAGGAACGAAAACGAAAACACTATTGATAGTTGACAATTTCGAAATGCACATTTTAGGCAGAATGGATTGTCAAAAATACAGGCAATAAAAATAAAATAACTAACCTAAATAGCTAACAAGACTGCTCGATATATCAGATCAAAGCCCCGAATGTTCCGACTGTCCCTTAATTCATATCGAATAGTTTTTATGAAAAAAATTTTGAATACCTGTAAATTTTGGACAAAATCGAAGTGTAAAATATTGATTGGTACGAAATTATTACGGCCAATTAGCTAGCCTCAGTTCAGTTTGGAACGATTTTGTTGTGCGGGATAAATGGGTTATAAAAAAAATTTGTCGAAAACTATTATTTCGTACGGCGAAAATTGACTGAATAAAAAAACCACAACGAGCATAAATATTCCGTTTTCTTCGAAAGTCAGAACAACAAGGTCCAACTCGAAGGGAAATAGATGCACACTTAACAAGGTCCAATAGTTAGCAAGGCTCAAAGTGGAATTAGTTTACTGATCCAAGATTTTATCTACGATACTAAAAACCTAAGCACAAAATTTTTGCACGTGTCGAATTGTTTGCTCTCAAAACTATTCCGAACTGAATTGAGATAGACTAATTAGGCATAATAATGGAAGCATACCAACGTGCCGAAAAGTCAGGATGCGTAAAATTTAAGCTTTCATTGGCTTTATTGGCGGTATTTTTTTTAAGTGTTGAGATAATGCTACTCGTGAAGAAATTTATAGCTTCTCTAAATGTTAAAGAATTGCCGTTTTGCTGTTTTTTTCTTATCTGACGTTAATATAAAACAGTTTGTTTAAAAATGAATTGGAAGGGAAAAAATTGCCCGACATAATAGGATGCTAATTATCTAATTGCCACTCTTAATTGACCAAAATATATCATTTCACACTAGGTGATATCAACATATATTCTGGAGCCTTTTTGGCAGCTTGTTGCTATCGAAAGCTGCAAAAAGGGCGCAAACAAGCTTACCATTTTTATTTCAAAATTTTGTTTATCAAATTTTAATGATTGAAAACTATTCGAAACCACTTAAAGGGCAGTCGGAGCATTCAGGGCTTTGTCCTGAAACAAACAGTTTTGTTTACTTAACCTCACATAACCATCAATTTTATGGTGTAGCGAGGGGTTTTACAAGGTTAATTATGAAGACTAAATATGTTTGTCTTGGCCTAATTAAGTCGCATGCCAATTTTTGTAACTTTCGGATCAAATGAACAAAATTTTAGTAGTAAAAATTTGAAGGTTGGGGGGGGGGGGGGGGTGTTGAAAGAGCCAAACTTTTTGTCATTGAGATCAAAATGAGTGTTTCTTAGGTGTTGTTGCTTTTTTGTTTTCTTTTTCAAGAAACATCTCAATTTTTGTTTGCGCGCTTTTTTTGAAATAGGTAATTTTACCTATTTCCGAGTGCAGCTCGGATAATTAAGCTCTGCTTTGACAAATTTTGAAATGAGTTTTTCAGAAGAACAGGGGTTACAAAAACTTATAACAAAATTTTCAGAACAAAAACTTCCCTGAAATCAAAAAGCTCTTACCATTATGTAATATTTTCTAGAAAAATCACGATGTGATTTTTAAGAAAAAACTGACAGCTTTTCTTTTTCGTTTATAAGTGCATCAATACTTCTGCAACACACTCTTGGCTCTCACTCCCGTATCAAAGTAATAGTTTTTGACAAAATTATAGTTCACATCTTATTCGCGTGTTAAATTTTGAGTTGTAAAATTTGTTTAAAAAAACTTATGAAGGTTTTTTTTTTTTTGTAGAAAACTGCAATGATGCATCGTTGAGGTTTTACGACAAGAAGCAGAGGTACCTCAACATAGTGCCAAGTGCATGTGGGGAGGAGTTGACCCCGAAACTTCTGGCTACGAACCTCGTCTCAATAGAGTAAGTTAAACAAACACCCAACTCAACAGGCTTCGAACCTATGACCTCCGGGTCTGCAGTCGGTGTCGACTTAAGGCTTAAACATATGACCTGAAAAGTTGTTGTCATCTGACGTAAACTTTGACATATTCTAAACAGGAAGTGTTTATTGAATTTGACTGTTCAAATGCAACTTCGGAGTAACTTGGTTTTAAATGTAACTTGTTTCTAATAAAATTAAGACTTTGCGCCGCCTATGTTTAATTTTTGAGGAAACTCAGCGCAAGGAGAAGCTATAGTTTTGCTGAAATTTTAGTTGTCAGTTAAAATGGGACTAAATCCGCAGGGGACGAAAAAGATATCCGCCCTGTGAAGATTTTATCCCGAAGCGGACGAGGCGGCACAAACCCCTGATTGCAAGTGAATGATTAAAAGATTTGATCTGAAACGCTCCATTAACCCCCCGCGTTTATTTATGACCTGTCAGGAGTATGGAAAGAGTCACTATATAAATAGGCAGCGATAGAAGGTGTAGCGGAAGCCTGATAAAAGGATCTCAAATAACCCAGCGGTACCATAAGAGAGGGTAGCTGATCAAACTTAGCTTTTCTTATCGAACCATTTTAAACCCAAACCTGCTACTATTCCTAATCAAAAGCTTTCTTAATTTAATCAGCTTCATGTATCATAAAATTGCACACAAGCTTTCAAAAACTGCGAAGATTGTTGATTTGCTTCAAAACAATCTGTTATGCAAATTCTGTAACTTTTTTTCGGTTTTTCAAGTCTTTTTGCATGATACAATTTCCAGTTCCTTTGAAATTCAGAACTTCCTTACTTCAAAACAAATTGGGAGATTTTTTGTCTGTGAAGCGACTCGAAAATTTTTTCACAACAGCACATCAAAGAAAAATTTTCCTGACAATATAAGCTTTGAAGCGGAGTAGAGAGTAATATTTGACAATTAAATGCATTCAGGCTTGATGAAGTTGGAAAAGGCCGTCAGTTGAAGTGCTTTGATCCAGTAGGATGAAGAGTTTTGTAGGATTGAGCCTGGTTCTCAGAGACAAAGTGAAAAATTGTAGATTAAAGGGTCTCTCTTTCGGCATGGTTAGAACAACCTACAGCTAAGATGGGTTGGGTTAAATGACTTTCCGAGTGAATTTGAGCATTTTTCTATTATTGTTTTACTTTTTTCCTTCTCGACTGCATCAATTTTTAAAAAAAAATTAGTAGGTAATCTTAACCATGCAATATGCTTATAAAAGAAGCTTAAAAATGCTCAGAAAAATTACTAGCAACAAGATTTTGAGCAGAAGTTTTCGGAAGATGGTTTGGTGCAAGGACTGTTTTAAGATGCCGTGTACAATTTTTGAGCTGCTTGATTGAAGGAGAATTGGTTTTATCTTGTTTCAGGTACGTGGAAAAGACAACTGATTTTCAACTGAAACGAAAGACTCACTTCTCTATTGTATGGACAGCATACCACGCAGAGGGTAAGGCTACACTTAAAGATGTGTCGTGTTTTAGCAGACGAAGAACCGTGCACATTCACACGATTTATCGGTACAAAAGGGACACAATTTTGTGGCCATTTACATGATTTTTCGTGTAAGTTTGCACGAGTTGTCATATGAACAATAGTTTATACGGAAAAATCTACGAACTTGGTCGGTTTCTAAATAAACTTGTAGTTTTTATCGACAATTTTTTGAATCAAAACATACTTTTTTAATCTGGCTTAGGTCATTGATACAATTAAAGTTTTTTATCAAAACTAAATGGTTTTTTAACTCTCGTTTAACTTTTTTCTAAGGTTTCATTGTTTTCAAACTCAGCTACGCTTTACAGAAATAAACGAGTTTGGATAATATGTATTGACGCACCGGAGTTTCATGGATAAAAATCGTTTATTATGGAATAATGTTGTCTAAAATATTATCATTATAGCTATTCATACTTTATTTCAGAACTCAAGTGAAATGATTGCCTATCTGATAAGAAATTACCTATCGTATGGAGATCACAAGGAGTATGCTTATACCTCGTAAGGACCAGATTTAGATTGGCAATAAAAGTGTTGGATTTAATGAATTGAATCATTCGAACCTAATTTATTGCTTAATTTTATAGCTAAATAGACGCAATAAAACAAAAGCGCTTGCCTCTTACTTTATATTAGGGGGTGTTTTGTTTATTTGTCGGTTCGAATAAATGGTCCACTATTCTGGGTGGCTACTTCTGTTTAATGTGCTAATTGCAAGTGGCCTGAAGTACGCCGCAATAAAACTTGAAAAGGGATTCTCTGTGTTCGAAATTGACCAATAATTCTAGGACTTGTTCAAAGCTGAGTTCAGAGAGTTTGTTGGTACGCTTCTCCCAACACAATCAAAAAAGAGTGCATTAGTAAAGTAAAACCAAAATTTCATGCGCCTACAGTCATGACGGACATGACTAGGCTCCCATTTGTACAGAATCTAGCGTCCCACCAAAGGAGCGATTGTTCCGGGATTAAATTGCTAGAAACAGCATTTTTCCAATGCGAGCCAAGTCAAGGCGTTTTCTTACGTCTCCGGGAGGCTGCAAGGAGACGTCTTTTCTCAAAAAAATTGACAAACAACATTTTAAATTTAAAATATATACAAAAAACAAATGTTTAGCTTAAGTTCACCATAGCGCGGAAGAAACTCAAATCAGTTTTCTCTTCGTAAAGCTGTATAATAATTTGCACTTTTCGTTTAGGACTCGGTACTTTTTCTTTTTTTGTAAATTGGTGCCCGGCACGTAGTTGATCTTGCTCGGCTTTTATGAGTCCGGTATTTTGAGCAGTTCCAGTTAGTAGTGGTTTTCTTCTTACGTATAATACAACACTCGTGGCCTGATACCACTAATATTTGTTTGTCTTTGGAGGATAAAGTAAAATGAAAGGACGCTTCAGACATTTTAGCTCATAGAATGGTAAGACAATTGTTCAAGTGTAAGGCAGTATGATTTTATGTGCAGTTTTTAAAATTCTTGAGTTGCTTTCAATTAGCACAATGTAGGTTATCTCTAGTTTAAACGCGTGAATGAGGGATTGTTTCTCTAGCTAATCGTAATACATTTTTTTTGAGATTCAAGAGGCATCAAGTGAATTAAGACTGTCTTTTCAGGCCTCAATTAGTACACCTAATTGGAATACTCCTGTACCCATGAAAAGGTGAAAAGGACTTAATTTGAAAAAAATTATCGGTATTAAAAGGGGGCTAAATTGTTGTGGTGTTATCTTGTTACGGGTTATAAAGCAGGAGGTGTAAAAAATGGGGGTTAAATAACGTGGCGTTAAAGAGTGGGAGTTGGTTTGAGTTAACATTTGGTAACTGGAAAAAATCGCCGCTCTCCTGTTTTATACGCTTTCCTCAAAGAAACGTGAATGACTTGTGTTAATATGTGTTAATGTCATAAAAATTGTGGTTAATTGTGTTAATTTCATGAAAAAATTTACAAACATGAAAGATGGTACAAGTTAAAACAGTTTCATCGTTGAACAGTGCTGATTTAAATTATCCGGACAAAACAAACAAATCTTGAATTTTCAAACGCCTTTTTCTCGAATTGGGTTAAGAGTAGACAAAAAGTGAACAGAACAAAGGTTGCTTAGAATTTCGTCTAAACTAATATGATGCAATTTTTCTCCGAAATTCTCAACCAAAATTTTACCCAAAAATGGGACATTTTGGTTTTTTTCAATTAATCAAAAATTACACTGAAACTACTTTGTTAATTGATAAGAAAATTATATCACAAGAAGCCTCCTAAATAGCCCAACAAAGTTTAAGAGGAGTTAAATCTCCGAAAGTTTGCGCAAATTGTTGAAAATTTGTTTTTAAACAGAGGTTCTGGGTTTTACATAGTAAAAATCACATTTATTGACTATCAAGTAAAAACTTTTTCTCTTATTCTGGTTTTTGGAGATTTAACTTTTCCTAAACTTTTTTGGGCTATGTAGGAGGCTTCTTGTGATATAATTTTCTCAACAATTAACTAAATAGTTTCAGTGTAATTCTTGATTAATTGAAAAGAGCATAAATTACCCATTTTTGGGGTAAATTTTTGGTTGAGAATTTCGGAGAAAAAAATTGTACCATATTAATTTTGATGAAATTCTAAGCAACTTTTGTTCTCTTCACTTTTTGTCTAATCTTAACCCAATTTGAGAAAAACGTTTGAAAATTCAAGTTTTGTTCGTTTTGTCCGGATAATTTAAATCAGCACTGTATGTTTTTTTCCAAAACTCGAAAATGTTTTAAATTTGTTTTTTTTTGGTTTCTTCGAAGTCACCGACTTCTTTCCAACTGTCTGTTGGCTATGTTTTTCTCAGCCATTCTTGCTGGTAGTCTTTTTACCCAAGATCAGTAGGACATTTCCAAATACTTTTGGCTATTGTACTTTGTAAGTAGTAGCAAGATTGATATCTAACTTTTGGTTTCATTTCAGCCACTTGCAAAGCGAGTGAGAGTACTCAAACAGAAACAGTGGCTCTCAGCCGAAAACGCAAGCGACGTCAAAAGAGGTCGACTGCGAGGGTCTCGTTGCAGCCAGATCCCCCCGTCAACAACAACAACAAGAAATACAGAAAGAGAGTGGTAGCTGACGAAAGCGAACAAGACATTGAGAATGGTCTGTTCCGATGTGAGAGGTCGAAACTCTGTGTGTCCAGAGAACTGCTCTGCAACGGACATGTCAACTGCGGACTGGACAAGTTTGGAAATCTAGACGACAGTGACGAGAAATGTTAGTACTTGTTATCGTTCACAAACTACCTTAAATTTTTATCACATTCTGGGGAAAAATACAAAAGGACAACTTTAAAGAGAGAAATATAAAAATGTAAGGTTTTATAGTGATTAACCTTGTCGTGGGGGGTTATATAGTTAATTCGTGGATAGAAAACAGCTGACTAAACTCCGACTGACAATGTATGCATGCATTGTATGGTGGATTTCAACAAAACGCATTTTTTCTGATCCTAAGCGAAGTCTGCACAATAAATCACCGAAACGCATTTGGCCAAGAAAAAGTTCTTTGATCCGCAATTTTCAAACTCTGAACATATGAGAGGCACACATCGTGGTGGTAAGGCGTTCGCTTTGAGATCGTCAGATCCTCAAGTCGATCGATACCCTGCCATAACAAGTTGAGTATATCAGCCCTCACTTGACCTTTTGCTTCAGTTCTACCACAACTTTACCAAATTTGGCTGCAAAAAAAATCATTCCAGACGCAAAAAAAACAAGACCAAGTGATCAATCTCCCCTTTAATCAATTAGATGGGAGATTGTTCACTTGATTAAAAGTTAATGTTTTTCAGCTAATCAGATTTGAGCATAGTTCCTACAGGCCTTATAGCTTAAACTTGCCATTTAGTTTAAGCGGGAGGGGAGATCGTCATTTGCTCTATTAAAGGTGGGATTCTCGCATGGGCCAAAAAAAAACATCCTTGATTAGCAAAAAAGGGCTTTGTTGAAAAAAAATCAGTGTAGAATGTGGAGAAAAAATATAAACCCGCGATCATCAGACAAGCCTAGAATTCTTTGATAGGTTCTCTGCGAATCGCAGAAACGAAGTTATTTAAAGAGGATTTCTAAACCGGTATTTCTTCCTTATTTCTTTAAAATTGTTGTTCACTAGGTCCAAATTGTCTGCTTGATCAATATTTTCCTCAATTTGAGACTTAATTTTTTTCGAGGATTAGATGCCTAGATAAATGGCTTATAATACAAAAGACCAAAGTTGTTGTGGGAAGTTTGTCTTCCTTTTTGGAACTGATCAATTCTTTTGTTGCTTTAGAAAGCAGTTTAAATCGATTCAAAACATCTTTTCAGCTCTTTTTACTCGCTCGTTATCTAATGGTGCCATCTAAGCTCATTATCTATTGTGAAAAAAGTTTTTCAATAAAAATCAGCAGCTTAGTCGATGGAATATTGAAGCAGTTTCTTTTCACAGTTATTTTGCATTTGCAATAATAATTGCTAACTTTTTTCAGAAAAAAAAATAAACGATTTAAATGATCAATTTTAATTTGAGCTTTGAGGGTAGAATTTGTAATTTTTTAATGGGCTGACAAAAAAAATTCGGCCAAAATGTCATTAAATGTTCGAAAAGAAGGCCTGTACTTTTCCATTTTAATCCTCTTTTGCCAAAGATGTCACGACAGTAATTCGCAGATTTTATCCTGAAGACCAATTTTTATAATTTGTTGGTCACGTGATTATCCCTTCTTTTCATGGCCCCAGGATGTGATTTAACGAAGTGAAATTGGTCGAGGCTGTGCTAATTTTTTAAGCCTCGGGGGAAATAATAGTTTGTATTGTTATAATTAGAGCCCCCTAAAAGCTCAAAACTCACTATTTTAAGCTTATTTTTAAGCAATTAGTTTCATAGCAATCAGCTTCAGTTCTCTCGAGACTATTTGTTTTTTTTAATCGATGGTTTTTGACTCAATTTTCGATGTGAGGAAATTTGGGTGGTGTGTTTGTTTTGTTTCCCATGTAAAATCAGGCAGCGAAAATAAATTTTAGATGGGGTTTCAGAGGGCGATTTATGGTATTAAGTCCTTTCAGTTGCGATTGGATCGTTTGTCGAAATTTTCCAAACAATTTTCTCACTGTCAAGGAAAATCGGTTTGAAATATCCGTTCTGACCTTCAATGAAATAAATCGAATTTTTATGCAGGGGTGTTTTTTTATTCAGACCAATTTATAATTCAAAGTTTTGTTTCCTCAAAAACATTGAGTCACTTTGAAGGGCAGTCAGAGCATTATAAGAACAAACTCATTATTTTGCAGTCAGTTTGTTTTTGATTACAAAGCAAAAATTCACATTCGCATAACTTTGACGCATGTTGGAAAAAGCGAATTTTTTTTTTTTCATTTACAATTTCGATTAGGCAAATGCGCTTATAATTCTTTTGTTTCAAGAACAGACATTCTAAATTATTCATCACAAATCTGGATGACAATGAAGAGAAAAGATATTTTAAAGAAAAGATGAGAAAAGAAAAAATTTAGTTTTTTGTATTCTTGAAACTGAAGAGATTTCTATTCTCAACCACTGAAAGCAGTCATTTTCAACAAAACAAAGCGCTCCAAGTTGTATTCAATATTGTCAATAAATACAAATTTTTAGACAAGTGCTGAAATTTAAATTTTTAGACAATTGGTGACTATACTGCGAAGCACTTAAAAAAATGCGTGTTTTAGAAAATTGTTTGCAGTATGAATAATAACCTGAATAAATAATTATATCACTATGATTCCATTTTTGCACCGTTTTGCGATGTTAGTTTTCCGGGTCAATGGCCTGTATATAATTGCAAGCATTGATGATCATCTAAGATTAAAACTTTAGGCAGCCAAATGCCCAGCAGGCGCAGTATTTCACGGACCTGAAAATCTCATTAGAGTTTAATTTTCGTGGTGCTTTTCCTGAAATTTTATCGGTCACGAACTTAATTGAAATGATTTGCTTTTTTGCCCAGTTTCAAATAAATGAATCATCCTCTAGTTTTTCACTCATGTTTTATCGCCTGTGATACCTCTGCGGGGCCCGAAAAAGGAGGAAAAATAAAAGTGGAAAATTGAGAAATTCTGAGATAAAAGGCTTCATCTCGGGGCGAAGCATTGCTTGGTTAACTGATTTTAAAAAGTAAATTTTAGCTAAAGAGGTAATGATGACGTGTCTTGTGATATGAATTCTCGGAGGATTGCTTCTAATCGCTTTTCAAAGACGCTTTGCAATCTTGAGATTAATTTAAAAATCGAAAAATTGGGCGAAAAAGTCTCAAGGGTTTTTGTAATTGAAAACATCACCCGATGGAAGCTTACATGTAGCTAGTCTGTGTCCTTTGCAGTAATCGATTGATTTGATAGGGTTCGCAAGCACTTCATGTAAAAGCGATATTTGAAATGATAACTCTTAAACTATGCGTCAACCAAACTCAAACAACAAGAATATAGCATTGTTGACTTGAAACGATATTCATTGGAGGTTGGCATCTTGGATTAATGGCCTAAATTGTATCAATTTTTAAAGCTATAATTTTTGCTCTCAATTAAATTTACTTTCAATAAATTTTAAGATAAACACCTGGAAACACAAACGGAAAATTCTGGGCTTGCCCCCTGATACGAGTAGACATGTTTTTTGGTAAACGGTTGCCAGCTTTAAAAAGTTTGTCGGTGAAATCACTTTTTCAGTATCTGGTTTTATGGATCTGCCAAAAATCTGGCATCTTTCAAGTCAGCTTTTATTTATCGCTCTCATAGTATTATGACATTAGAGCACTAAATTACACAAAAATTTGTCTTTGATTTTTTTCCATCGCAATCGGATAATGCCTCTATGTAATCATATTACAATCTTGAGCAGCCACGCGTTATGTTTTTACAGCCTATTTTATGTAGATTCGATAGAAGTTAAAGTCCCTTTAAGTGCTGAAAGAAAAAACGAAAATTAAATTGAGTTGATGGATATGTTTTTTTTTTACTTTTTCTTATTCATTATAGATTACCAACCTCATTTCTTTTTTAAAAATGCGGAAAACGTTGGCTTATGCAATTCGCCTAGAAGTTGAAGTTTTTTCTGGATTTATGAATTAGTGATATATTATATAAAAACCCTTTCAGTTGTGATTCATAAGACATTATAAAATTTCCAAAAGTTTTCTCATTGACAAGAAAAACCAAACTTTTGATGCTCCAGCGAATATAAAAGATTCATAGTATGCTTATAATTAGCTTATAAGAAGAGTCGTAAAAATCACTTTATGCCGTGAAAGCTTAGTTCTAATCAAGTAAAATTAGTTTTCGAAAACTTTTAGCGCTTTTTGGGAATAAAGTTTAGGCAAAATTGCTCGTATCAGGTCAAAGCTTGAATGTTCCGACTGTATTTTAAGCTTAAGCTAAAAACGATAAAATTTTCTATAAAATTTTTGTTTTCTTATTTGAGCTTTATTCTAAAACTATCCCCTCACGCATTATATTATGTAAAGTGCAATGTGATTTGTTTTTTTCAGGTATAGCGAGTTATTAAAAGAAAAAAGAGCATGCCTCATTTCAGCTCGAAACAATTTCCAAAATTGAGCACAGGAAAAAATTGTTCAAAATTTGAGCTCAGAACGACAATATCTCTTGGATGATGAAAAAAAAATTGTCAAAAATTATCTATCTATCTATCTATCTATCTATCTATCTATCTATATATCTATCTATCTATCTATCTATCTATCTATCTATCTATCTATCTATCTATCTATCTATCTATCTATCTATCTATCTATCTATCTATCTATCTATCTATCTATCTATCTATCTATCTATCTATCTATCTATCTATCTATCTATCTATCTATCTATCTATCTATCTATCTATCTTAAGTATATTTAAATGCTAGTGACAGCTATCTCCAATGTTTAAGATTATTAAATTTGCATTTTTAACGAAAGAATTTTTTCATGTTTCAACTATATCATATAATGCAATGCTTTAGAAAATTTTTCAATTAGTTTTGCGCAAGGTCATTATTTTTTCAGTAATGTTTTTCGAGGCCAAATTAAGTCTGTCTGTCTGAATACCTGCTTCATAAATTAATTTGATTATGTCTGTCTACCCGTCTCCTAGTTTTTTAAACTTTGAATTTGGTTTCGACGAAACAGTTCAAAATAGTACAACTGTCAAACGGTTGTCTCCAATCTCTCTTTAACTTTATCTGGATTTTCTGTTTTCTGGATCTTTTTTAAAATCTTTTTTTTTCTAATTTTTTAAACTTTTTTTTCTTTTTCTATTTTTCTTTTTTTTAAAATCTTTTTGATGCGTCTATTTTGATCTTTCCATCTTTTTATCTGTTTTTATCCTTCTTGTTCTATCTTTTTTTTCTATCTGTAATTTCTATCCTTCTAACCTGTAGTTGGGTGCTGTCAGAGTACTCAAGGATTGTGAATCTTGCCTCCAAATATGACTGCTCAAATCCTTGTAGTTTTCCAGATACGACGTTTTTTGTGATTTTTCAAAAAGTTTTCAGAAAACATACCGAATTTTTTTTTCAAAATTTAAGAAATACTAACCGTGTTTTTGGGGGCTACCAGAGTACTCTCACGGGTTGTGAATCTTGCATCTAATTATGACTGCTCATATCTTAATAGTTTTCCAGATATGACGTTTTTGTGATTTTGTCAAAGTTTTTCAGAAAACGAAACTTGTGTTTTTTTTTTCAAATTTGAAATTCCTAACCCTGTAATTGGGTGCTGTCTGGGTACTCCTAGGGTTTGCAAATGTTGCCTCCAACCATGGCTGCTCAAATCCTTGTAGTTTTCGAGATAAGATGATTTGTTTCTAGAAATTTTCCAAGTTTTTCAATTATTTAAGGTTTAGAAAAATTTTCAAAATTTAAATACCCCAACCCTCTAATTGGGTATTGCCATGGTACTCTCAGAAGTTGTAATTCTTGCCTCCGAATATGACAACCTAAATATTTGTACTTTTCGATATTTGACTTTTTGGAGATGAAGGAAAATAGGAATTGAAACAATTTTTAAAATATCAAATTACCAGCCATGTAATTGGGTGCTGTCAGAGTACACTAAAAGCCTGCAGATGTGGTTTCCAATGTATGCGGTTTTTCATGAGTTGTCAAAAATTTGAATCACCGGAGGTGCGTTACACGCTAGTTTGTTTTAATTTATGGTGGGAATTTTCTGTGCTTTTTGCAATGCAACAAACTATCCTTGTTTTTGAACAAAAATTGAGCTACCGTTTTGTCTTAAAAGAGAACCGCCGCCTTTTAAAAGACACTCATAAGAATTGAAACCTTAAGACTGCTCTTTACAGGACGAAGCTTTAAATGTTCCCATTGCCTTTTAAAGTCTTTTGAGAATTTTTCGCTTCCAAAAAATTTTCTTCAAAATTTAAACAACAAATCAAATGTTTTCTCAGATTTTTTTGTAAACCATCCCCACACCTTATGATATGTATAAAGTGGTATTTATCGCATGTAACAGAGTATTAAATTGACTAAATTGCATGCCCAGTTCGGTTTGGATATTTATCTGGATAAAAAACCACCCCGAGCACAAATTTTTTGTCATTTCATTCGAAAGTGACAACAAGAATCGCTCGCAACTAAAAGCCTGACTTGTTCTAAATTTCGAAAAATTCCTTTCTAACATTTATTAAATCAAATAATTTTACGACTGAATAGCATCATTTCATCCTTGAATATTAAAAATGTTATCCTAAAAGTCTCAAATTTTTGCCAAAGTTTTTGTTAGTAATATTATCAATCACATTCTATAAATAAGAGCCGCCCACAAACTTCAGAACGCCCTCATTTAAGACTTATTTTCAACCAGGATAATTCAGTAAAAGAAATTTCCATTCATTCAGCGAAGGTATTATTTTTCACAACGTTTAAGCATTTACATGAATATCAGAAGAAAATAGGGTTTATTCACAGATTAAAAATTGCAATGTCCAAATTTATCAACATCTGATTAATTCATAAAATTATCTCTACTTCTGGATCGCAGTGAATTCCGAGAAGAAAACAAGTAATTTTCTTATCAGGAAAACTGATTGAAAAAAATGTGCGTAATTATTTATACAATCATTTTGACGGAGTGCGGTCTGAATTAGACAACCAACTACGTATTCATACTCGTCAATAAGCAGACAAATATTACATTACCACAGAATCGAGATGGGAAAGCAAACTTACGAAATAAAAAAATTATTAATTTTTCATTGCTTCTTTGTCTCGATTCTGATTGGTTAATCCAGTATTTGTCTGCTTACTGAAGAGTCTGAATACGCAGTTGTCTAAATATTTCTACGTAACCCATTTTAACAATATTCCAAACAAAATGTAAGCAATAAATTTTCACCAATTTTCAAGAGCTTCGAGGTATAATTAAAATTGCAAGTGTATCGTACAAGTATCAATCATTTTGAAACAAAGGCAGTGTTTTGCTTGATTGATTTCCCCGCTGGAGTATCTTTTGTTCATGCTTCCCTGTTTTCCGTCTGACATATGATGTCGCAAATTCAATTGAAACAACCAAGACTGCATTTAACAACAGAGTCTACGCCAACTCAACAGATGGGATAGTGAAAATCATTCCAAAGCGTCCCTCTGAAATCTTTTTCAAACATCAGCTGAAAGGAATGTTTGTTTTGTTGATTTGACTGACGCTGTCTGTCATTTACACTCTCAACCTCACTTTTTTCTGTTTTTGTCTGAATTCTAAACAAGTTTTTGAGAATTAATGAATTGGAAGCAAACTAAATACTCATTTAAAGATCATAGCAATTTGCACCATTCTCTGCTGTGTTGTTTTTCGGTACCGAGCCATAAAAACTCAGAAAATTAAAAACTTTGTTTTCCGAAAAAAAAAGAATTTTTCAGTTAAAATAGCAAAAAATGTTTTTTCTAAATCAATTTTGCTGTGCATTTAGCAAGCAGCGGCTGTGCACATTTTCTTTTAGTAATTATATTCTTAGGTTAAACTTACATAAAACAAGAGGAATTAGCTTGTGTGAAAAAAGGACAGAATGTTCCGACAACATGTGATTGCAAAAAAAATACTAAAAAATCGATTTTCCTTTTTTTTGATATTTTCAAAAAGTATTTCGAAATTATCATTTTTTTTTAAAAAACAAGACATATCAATGAACTGTTCATCTAATGGAAATTTTTCCTTTATTGAAATTATGAAACCGCTCTTCTTTGTATTTTTGTTTGCATAGCAAAGTTTTATGACCAATTTATCGGCACTGATAGATTTCTTCGAATGTCTTTAGTCAAATCCAAAATGAAGTTCTCTGAACTGATTTCTTCATGGGTTATTTTTAATTCACAGGTGTGGCCACTGGCAGTGGGTTCGGGTGGTCTGGGGGCTTCTGGGGCAAAAACTGGAATGTGGTGCTGTCCATAGGAGCCGTGCTCACTGTGACCATACTGGCCATAGTGTCCTACTACCTCAGACATCAGGCCATTCTCAGGGCCAGGAGGAAGCGCAGAGTCGGTAAGAGAGCGAAGCGAAGTGAAGTGCAGAAGATCAGTTTTCTTCTTCTAAAAAATCATATCTCAATATTTTCTAGCTTGCCTTCGACTGAGGCGAATCTTGAGCGGATTCACTGAGCTGCCGAGTGCAAAGCACTTATCGATTTTTCACCAAAAATTCTTGTTTTTCAAGAAAAATGATTTTTTTTGCATGCTTTGTGAACTCTTTTTAACCACTAGCGAAGAGAAAAGTTGGCTTTGCTAGCAAAATTTGGTTTCTTGAGATCACCCTAGTTTTTTGTTCACATAACAATATTTTGTATAGTATCATAGAGTGCTATTTCATCATCATCATCGTCATCCTTCTATTTGGAGAGAGCCAATGGTTTTTCACTCAACTTTCACTTTCCAATAAAATTGCGGAAATTTATTCATGGTACTTTTTATTCCGACTTTCATAACGAAAGTAACGGAATATCTGTGCTCGGGGTAGGTTTTTTTTTCTTCAGACAAATTTCGACTTTTTAACTAGCCATTTTTGACGGAATTTTTTTATATCATTCGAAATGTATTGTTGCCCTGAGCTTAAATTTGAAAAGATAAAAAAATATTTTAACTGTGATCCTTTTTCGTAAAGTTATGGGGGTTTAGAATTGGCATTTTGCTCAATTTGAGCGCGATATATTAAAGCGTGACAATTAAAGCGCGATCTATTTCGCGCGATTAACGCGTAAGCGGAGATTAAATCCGTTTTAGAAATTGTTGCAAGTTGGTTGAAGGAAGCTTATTGGCCATAATTGGTTTGTTACTAGGAGCAAAATCTATCACGTTGTACTTTATATGGCGTGTGGAGGAGCGTGTCTTCAATAAAAAATCTGAAATAAAAAAAAATGTTTTTTTATTTCGTTTCATTGCATTTAATTTTTATAAGTTATTACTGCTCCATAGACCTAAAAGGCAGTCAGAACATTACGGGCTTTGCCCTGATACGAGCAGTCTTGTTTATAGTATTTGGTTTGATAGCTCAATATTGAAGAACTGTAAAATGAATCTGTGCTTAAAGAAAAAAAAACATTTGAAATTCAACAAGACTGCTCGTATCAGGGCGAAGCCCTGACTGTTCCGACTGCCTTTTAAGGTTTATGGAGCAGTAGTAACATAAAAAAATTAAATGTAATAAATTAAAATGAAAAAAAAATTTTAAATTTGAAAGTTTTTTTTTAATGAAATCATACCCCCACACGCCATATAAAGTACAAAAAAAATAGATTTCGCTCATTGTAACAAACCAATTATGGCCACTCAGCTTCTGTCAACCAATTTGGAACGATTTCTAAGACGGATTAAATCTCCGCTAACGCGTTAATAGCGCGAAATATCTCGCGCGTTAATTGTCCCAAATTGGCCAAAATGCCAGTTTTTAAGCCCCCACAACTGTACGAAAAATGATCACAGGTGAAATATCTTTTCAAATTTAAGCTCAGAACAACAATACCTTTCGAATGATAAAAAATCTGTCAAAAATGGCTAGTGAAAAAGTCAAAATTTGTCTGAAGAAAAAAAACCCACCCTGAGCACAAATATCCCGTTACTTTCGTAACGAAAGTCGGAACAACAATGCATTATCTCAAAGTTATGAGAATTGTGAAGTAAACAAGACTGCTCGTATATCAGGGCAAAGCCATGAAAGTTCTGAGTGTCCCCTAATTCATGTCGAATAATTTTTGGGTAAAGAAAATATTGAAAACCTTAATTTTTGGACAATATCAAAGTGTGAAATGTTAACTCGTTTGAAATTAATACGGCCGATCCAATTAGCTAGTCTCGATTCAATTTGAATCAATTTTGTTGTACGGGATAGTTCGCCACGCATAAATAATTCGCGTTACGCTCGCAGCAATATGAATAATTTCTTCAAACCGCGCATAATTTAGTCAAGAACATGGCCAATTTGGCAATTTTCAAACCCCCAGAAATTTACAAAAAAAAGATCGGAGGTAAACTATTTTTTTTAAAAATTTGAATTCAGAAAGTCGATATCTTGAATGGCGTATAAAAATTTTTGTTGAAAACTATTATTTCGATCGGCTAAAGTTGACTGAATAAAAAACCATACCGAGCATAAATATTCCGTTTTCTTCGAACAATATGCGTCAATAGAGAACCTTGTGTTTACTTACAACCATCTAATGAAAATGAATTAAAAATGAAACCTCTTGTAGTTGGCATCCATTTTTCGCCTTTTTGCTCCAACCACTTCAAGATGTGGGAAGGAATCAAGGCGTAGCTTGAGTTCTCTTCCCCCCGATTTTGGTCACCACCAAGAAAGATCGTAAGGGGTTAAATGTGGTGTTTTACCGAAGCATTTTCAGCAGTGATTTGGATTCCAAACAAAATCAAAAAAAGTTGTCTCAGTTTTGAGAAAGCGGTCTGAATTTTTCTGTTTTTCCGACAACAGGAAATGAAGTTTGATCTGATGAAAGAATGAACTCTCAATTTAGTTCGACTGCAATTTTATTTCAACTTAGCAATTATTATCTCCCCGGTCATTTGACAGCTTTTTATGCAATTCAATCACCCTTTACTGAAAAAAAAACGACCAACTTTGACAGCTTTTCACGCAACTCAATCACCCGTTACTGAAAAATAAACTACCGAACGAGCAAAAAACTGAACAAAATATATATTTTCAAACTTTAATAAGTCTAATAACTCTTAATTGATTTTTTCTTGTTTTTAATTGATGGTTGTGCGATTTGCAGAGAATTTTTGAAAGGCTTTCAGGCCTAAGCACAATTCATTTGTTTTATTTCCTCACATTCCACTCTAAGTTTCTTCTTGTTGAGCGAAGTTCTTTTTTGCAGTTCAAGGCCGTTTTTTCCGTCTAAAGCTTTGAATTCTAGTTTCTAATTTTTGAATTTTTTCTTTTTTCTTTCAATTGACTAATGATACTTAAATTTATGATATTTACACTCATGATACTTAGATGCTGGTCCATCTAATACATACAACTTATAAATCATTAACTTGTAAGTTTGTTTCAGAGGCGATGCACAAACGTGAGCGCCACTTCGACGACCCCCTGCCACCAGTGCCCCCTCCCCTCTCCCTATCAGAAATGGGCACCCAGTCCTCCCTCAACCTCACAACTGCCAAGAACCCCCCCAACGACTACTCAATGCTCCCACCCACCCCGTACGACATGATGAACGCCGCCAACGGACAAAAGTACCCCACTCATTTTGGGGTGAGTCATACTACTCGCGGTCGATGCAACTGCGTTGTAGAAGAACTGACAATGGTTCAAATTATGAAAGCTTTGGTCGAGATTTTTTTTGGGAAACATCTACACCTTAATAGGAAGGCTTGCATAGAAATGGTACCCCGTAAACAGTAGCCAGACTTATAGAGGATTTAACTCAACGGTTAAGCATATGCAAGTTTTTTTGCTAGTTATGACACCTTATTTTGCAATAGGGTCGAGGGTAGTAATGTAGATCCAAAATTCTCATTGCCGATGTCAATTTTTTTTTTCATCTTAATATAATCGCGCAACGGGAAACATAATCAATTGTCATGTACGATTCAATATTTATCAACAAGGCCGATCGATCGCTCTCAAGTTGAAGCTTCTAGAATAAAAATGAATTTTGTCCTCAATTTCAAGTTTGATCGAGAGATAATGATACAGGAAGTTCCCGATCTGATTCGCCCCATGTATGGCATGGCAGGTCCGATTCAGATCTCAACAATATGAACTGCTTCGCGTTTTTCGGTTAAACTAATTAGCTCGGAGAGTTCAAAGCTCTTCTGGGGCGGAGCTAAAAATTTAATTTGCGTTTTGCCTCTTCAAAAATAATTTGACCTACTACTAATGGAAGCTGCAAAACAATTTGCGTAATTTGAGTGGAGTTAGTTTCACAAGGATTGGTGCAAATGGAAGGAAGTTATTCCACTTTTTCTGCGCTTTGACGTGCAGTTGTAACATATATGAAGCGATTTGTAATTGTCAGCCGAGCCAAATTCTCTCAAGTTGCCGCCCGTGTAATCCCGATAAAATCGACATATGCCCCCAAAAATAAATCTTATGTAAATTTTACAAAATTTCCTCGGCCGCACTTAGGGTTCAAAGGAATTTAGCAATTTAGTTCAAAGTAAAACTTCATTTTTTCAACCTAATTTCAGGAAGTTACTTCTGTCTCAGTGGAAAACTACTTGAGCAAATTTAGTAGATTGTGAAAAGAAATACTTATGCGCTGAAAATTAAATCTAAATTTAGCTCTTTAAAACTTCGTAATTCGGTGATAATTGACTATGCTAACATTGGTTGAAGAAAAAGCAGGTTGTTTCAAAAAACATGAGACTGAAATCAAAAACAGAAAACTCTGGTCGTGAAAACTAAAATAACATGACTACTATCCCCCAGCTAAGTTGTCGTTGTTTACTGAACACCCCGTCTGAGTTGGCGAAGAGTAAGAACTGCGATAAGGTCGAGAAATATAAATAAATCACACACCTTTAGAGCACTGACTTGAAGTTCATAAATGGCACGAATACGCCAAGGGTTGTCGACACTGGAAAGTAAACAAGAAGACCCTGCAAACAAAAACAACCCATAGTTTTGATCACTTTCTTTTGAACTAAAAAAACGTTTGAGTGCGGAGATAATTTCTTTCTCTTGAAATACCTTAAAATGTGTTTTTTGTCGAATTAAAAAAAATTAGTGAAAGAAAAATTTTTATTATTGTGAAAAGTATGAAATGGTGAAACGGCTCAAGTTTCAAATGTGGAGCGTTAGTGTTCGAAACCAAGGCAAGTTTTCTCAATTTTTCTTGCAGATGCCAGACGTAACCGCAGTTCAAATCCAGGCAGCTCGCAATCCAGGCACTGGTACCATGCCCCACCCCCAGTCGACTAGAGGGGTTACAGGAGGAGGGGGCGGTGGTGGTGGGGGGATGCATTGGGCTAGTGGCAACTTCCGCAGATCCCAGTCGGCAGCCTCCTCCAAGGCCTCTTCGTCCCCCACCAGTAGCAGATCTGCACCCGCGTCTAGACACCCCCCTGCTCCCAATGGTGAGACACGAAACTTGTTTTGCTTGTACCTTTTTTGGCCCTTTGCTAGTCCCTATTTTAAGTTTTTCTTGCATTCGAGTAACGAAGTCTTATTCGAAATGACTTTTGACGTTCCAAAGTTCAATAAAACATGTCAGCGTGCGTAAAAACTAAAAAAAATTTGGCTGTTTTTCCCATGGCTATTTTTACAAGTCATGGGGAAAAATAGCCAAATTTTTTTTTATTTTTTACGCACGCTGACATGTTTTATTGCAGTTTGGAACGTCAAAAATCATTTCAAATAAGACTTCGTAACTCGAATTTAAGACAAAATTAAAAGAGGGACTGGCAACAAAAATAAATTGGCGGCTCTTTTCCAATTCCCCCCCCCCCTTTCAAATTCAATTTTGAAAAGTCTATTTAACGTTGTCACAATGCAATGAAATTTGGCGTGGTGAACAAATCGACAATTCTGAACAGATTTGTTCTTCATACTTTACAGCGTAATATCACGCATTTAGCCGTAATAACACGTAAAACAAATATAAAACTCGTTATTTTGAAAGGGGGGGGGGAAACTGGAAAAGAGCCAAATTGGCCCTGATACTAACCCTTGTAAAATCCCTCGTTACACCATAACTTGCTTATTTAAGGTGAGGGGGGGGGGGGAGGGGGGAGGGGGGTGAGGAAAAGAGCCCAAATTTTTGCAACATTTTAAACAACCAAGTTGCCTTATGAAAAGTTTTGATTATTTTCCACTCCCCTGGTTCAATATAAATTCAACGTCTTTACTATTAGTCACAATTTTAAGTCAAACCTTGTAACTGCTTATCGCAAAATCGTTTCGTGTTGGTTAATTGGCTGCGAAAACTATGACTTCTACTACTTTAGACAAAATGTAGTAGACGAGCATGTTTCATCCTGGACATTTGTTTAAGGATGCCAGCAACAGCATTCGGCTCAGATGAACCCTCGCAACAGTCACCGAACTCTTATGAGCGACTCCAACGACAGCGACTCGGCAGTGTTCTCGGGAAGCGAACGCGGAGGAGTAGTCTCGAGTGTGAATGGGTGTCGACGCAAACACCACCGAGATTGCCCCCATAAGAAGAGTCGCAGTAACTTCCGACACTCGAACCACCCGAACCGAGAGTGGGAGATCCAATACGACCCCAATAACCCGAACGCAATGGCAAATGTCCAGGCACCATGTATGTGCCAAGGAAGCACCAGCCAGTTCCAGGGTCACCCGAGCGTCGGAGGACAATTTCACTGCCATAGCATGATGCAGAACCCAAACTATGTTGAGCTAGTCAACCCATTTGTGGAGCAGCAGAGTTCAAACGGCCGAAGATCTCGAAGCCAAGACTTCTTAGACATAAACGAAGCACACGGAATACCTCATCAAGTTCGACTGCAGTCGGCCAGCAATCTCAGAAACGAACAGCAGAGAGGAAGAAATGGTAAATTCAGTCACAACAACGTCGCCTACAGGTCCAGTCAGGGCTACCACTCGGAAAACGACAGCTACAGGGCCCCCCTGGCTAAGACCAGAGGCAGACCAGTGATGGGGGGAAGCAGGGGGTACAAGAGTGAGACGGATGACGGGGGAAGTAGTGTTGTGAGTGCTGGGGGGAGGGGCAGCAGTAGTAACCATGGCAACAACCACAGGGCCACCACAGCGCAGAGAGCGTTCGCGTTGCTCAGGAAACAGCAGCAGGAGCAAATGCGGATGCAGCAGAAACAACAATTACAGACGCATCAATACGAGCAGATTCAGATTTAATGAAACACTCTTCTTCTTTTGTTAAAAACTACGAAGGACTTTGAAAAATTAGACGATTAGAGTTTCTGTTGTTATGATAACCCAGATGGATTTCTGTTTTAATTTGTAATATTTCTCAAATACATTTCTGTTTTCCATGTTTCCCTTTTGCAATCAAATAAGAAAGATTGTGACTAAATGATTTCAAGCTTGTTTGCTTCTGTTGGCAAGTGAGGCAAAATGAGATCGAACTACAGTCGCAACTAGCTCTGCATCTTAATTGAAACCTTCAAATCAGACTGTAAATAATACCTAAAATTTCAGCATAGTTTTTGAAGAACAATAAATTATCAAAAACTATTAGTAGTACTCGAAAGACGACTCTTTTTTATGCATACTCTATGTATAGTTATGTATATTTATTGCGCACAATAATAAATTGACGCACAATTGCGCACAACATAAATTGAAAGAAAACAAACGTATGGATTTCAAAACTACACAGCAAAATTGGCTAAATGATACCAAATTAATGATGTGGTGGCGTCCCTCATGCTTGAAGGACCGAATGCTTGAAATTAATTTTAGCTTACTTTCCGCCAATCAGAATTGAGTATTCAAAATCTCAAAATAAATCGAGAAAAACCTCAAAGTAAGAAAATAAATCCAGGCCATTAGTGTTAATATTGACCGATTGGATAATAAGCAGATGCGTTTTCAAGACTGAAGATTTCGTAGATTTTGACCTCATTAATTTTGATAATTATTTGAATCGTATTGGGTTGTAACTTTTGTAATTTTTTTTTATTGTTTTCCACTGATTTAATACATTTTCTGTTAATATTGACTTCGATTTTGTGAGAAAGGCATTTAGCCAGTAGAAACGCTTGGCGATTTTGATTGGTTGAAATTTTTCAAGCATTCGGTCCTTCAAGCATGAGAACCCTCCCCTGGTGGGTATTCACGAGTACCAAAATGATAAATCAGTCCCATTTGTACCAAAATAAAAAATCAATCGCGTTTGTACCAAAACATATTCAATTGGCCTAAGACTATTAAGCCGACTACTTTAAGCTCTTGGTTTAAGGTCGCCGGTGGGCGCGCTACGCGCGCGTCGCCGCTTCGCGGCGATAACCGGCTCTAATTTTCGTATAGAGTCCTACCCTCTGTTGGCAAGCTCGCAACACGTTGGCGCGACTGCGGCGGTCACTATTCTGCTGTTTAGTTTTATTCTGTTTGAACAGTAGGAAATTAATGTAGTAATTCGTTGGCTCACAATTCGACCAATCAGAAATCGAGTTGAATAATTTTGGTACAAATGGGACCGATTTTTCATTTTGGTACAAATGACCGTTGGTACAAATGGGACGTCACCCCCTCCCCTAATGATGTGAGCAAATTTTGCAATTAATGATTTTTTTTTCAAAAGACCGCTTGTTAATGTCTGCTTTGGGTCTTGTTAGTGTCTGCTTTCTTTCTCTGAAATAATTTTTAGAGAAACATTTTGTCTGACGTAAGAAAAACTCTTATTTTAAATCGTCACAATCAACCTAGATATCGTTTTACTGCAGTGCCGAAAACTTGAAATTAAGTTCAATCAATTTCTAGTTATGCGGTTGTTGATAGTTTATGGAAAATTTTCATTGACGAAACATATGAAAAAATTTGCAGAGCGAACGACATTGTTAAAACCGACGACGCCATTAAAAACAAACAATGTCGACACAGTATCTTCGTTCAACCACATAGGTTATACATCACTCCATAACTGGCTGCGTGAAACATTACCTATTGGACGACGTTTGCAAATCAACTAGTTCAAAAACGCAAAATGCTACACCTCTACAGAAGAATGAAACATCGCGCTAAATTGTACAAGTAATACAGCCAAACATTTGTTAGAATGATAAAAAACCTTTAATCACAAACTGTTTTTCACATTTTATGAAGCACTCTTTGTAGTTTTATGTTTTTTAGTTTTATTTCTCCGAAAACAAATGTAAAAGTTTAAACACTAACCAATTATTTTTCAAAAATAGCACTACATTATGTTTTGTAAACATGAGAATTTAATAGTCTAACTACTTCGAGAAAATCTTTGAAATAGTTGATCTTTTTGTGTTTGCCGGGTTTTCTAAGAGATCTTTTGAGACTTAACAAAAAAGATTAAAATTAAAATCAGTATTGGACTATAAGAAGTTGCACGAACTTACCCAGCCGAAAATAGGTTGCGTGGCAAACAGACATAGTACTCTATTCATTTCTTTGAGATTTCAGAGCAGTCCAGTCCCCTTTCAGGTGTTTTATATTAAAACCATTAATTTTTTGTATCCAGCTTTTTGCTCTCCTAGACTGCCAATCAAACAACTCAAAAAGTGCACTTTTATGTGGAATTTTTAAAATTGATTAAGTATTTGCACAGTCCAAAAAATGAACACAACAAGTCTTGCGTTCGTTTTTATTTCAATTATTAAAAATTTCAACGTCTACATTTTTACTTCTCAATTTTTAAAATCTATAAACAATCCTAACTTGTTAAACAGAAAAATCTCTTTAGTTTTTCCAGTTCAGATAAAAATTGGTGTACTTTTTCTGAAATTCCTATTTAACATAAAACCCGCACTGGAGGTTCATGGATAAAAATCGGTTTAATTTGAGTTTTAATGTCAGAGTCTATAACAGTAAGGAGTAATCGAGTATAATAAAAAAGGATTGTTTTTGCTAATATTTATTAAAGCATTGAAAACTATTGCAGATCAATTATAATAGATTTTTTTTCACTTTCAGAGAATGAGACAAAAAATCTCCATTAAATTAGATTTACATTTTATTAAGGTTCAAATTTCAACGCACATAGCGTTTTCCATGTATTTGGTTACTTGTTGTTCAATTTTAGTTTTTTTTCTGCTCAACTTTGGTTTCTGTTACTGTTTTCTTTATGTTACTCAATTTCTCAATGTTGTTCCTTTCAGCAATTTCCCTAATTGTTTAATTTGGGGGGGGGGGGGGGGGGGGTGAGAGAATGGTAAAATTGTAAGTGTACTGTTATGCGAGAGACCGCGTGCTAAAAAAAATCATTTTTTTGCCAAAATCCTCCAAAAAATGCATTTTTGACGGAGTGAGGGAGGGGGGGGGGGGGGGGGCTTCAGTTGGGAGTTGGGGTGGTGGGTTGGTAATTCGGGGGGGGGGATTGTTCATGTTGTTCAGGTGGTCAGATGACGGAGGGTGGTTCAGGTGTCAGGTATATGGGGGGCAGGAGCAAAAATTGGGGGGAATGGGGGGAGATGTTATCGGAATCATTTTGCAATTTGAAAAAACTTTAGAATTAGAAATCGAGCAGGCCGTACACTCGTTTTGCAAACTTTACGCTCTGCACATTTCAATAATTCAGAACTTCTGACAAAACTTTGCGCGACGCAAAACCAAATTTTAAAACCCAATTTAGTTGATTTTAAATTTTAAAATTTCATTTTATTTGATTTTAAATGGATTATAATTACTTTTAAACTTGATAAAACCAATGGAATTTAATCAACTTTTTATTTCAGTCGGTTTTCTGAGTGCTACATGGGAACCGATTATATTGATAAACATTTAAATTACAAAAATATATTATAATTGGTTTCTTTTCACTTTTTTTAGATGCGGGAATTCAGTCCCATATCTCATAAGCTCAATTATTACACCTAAGTGCTGATGTTTATAATTGGTGTGAGAGCTGTAGATAAGCCCTCTCCTTGCGCCCTCCCTTATCTGACAAAAAAGAAGTTTAACTTATAATTTTTGTTTTCATTTTTACTTGTACATTTGTATTCAGATAGATATGATTCGGATCTTGTTTCAATTACTAAATTTGGATGTACTTCTCCGGAGCCAATTTTTCCAGCAGCTGGCTGAAGTTGAGGTCAAACTGGGAATCAGTCGAGAAGTCGAACCGAAACTTGTCGCCAATGATAAGAAGTAGCTCTTTTTTTGGCGTATATTTTGGCTCTACGACAACGGGGATGATGTTTTTGCTCTGAATTGATGCATATTTGATTTCTTTCATGCAGTTTTGGCTTTTGTGATATGCGTCAGAAAGACAGCAGATCACGAATTTTGCATTGTCTACAGCTTTGGCCATTTCAGTATAAAGGCCATCGCCTTTGTGCATGTCTTTATAATCAATCCATATGGGTTTGATGTCGTTTTTCTGTAGTGATTCTCTCAACTTTTTGGCAACTGGCTGCTGTTCCCGACAGTAGCTTATCATTATATGTTTCTCAATTTCTTCAGGTATCTCAATCAACGGGATCTGATCACGTGACTTTTGTGTTCTATAAGATTCAACTTTTGAGCTGGAGCTGCTTGAGTTATTTAGGTTCTCCGTGAAATCTGTGGAGCTCATATTAACGATATTTTCCAAGGAAGCTTCTAATTCATTTGCGTTTGCGGCAATCTCTTCGATTGGGTGACTCTTAAACTTACAGATGAGATCCTCAAAATATCTTGTTCCACAACCGGCTATTAGTACTGCAGCGAACGGGTGTTTGCATAATTCGCGAAGGAGTTTCAAGACCCAGAGGGCAGCTTTGTTTTGAGATCTGTGTGGCATTTCTCTGGAGGCCATCGACTTGGCATCAACGCGCTCCAGAATGGACTCGCAGACGGACAAAATGCCTTGTTTTATAAGTTCAGATGCATTATGGGAGTCGGTGGCAAATATGGAGAGGGGCTCCATGATTTCCTCGGAGCTGAAGTCCTCATAGGAGTTGCACCACTTTGGGTCTCCATCATCCGTCTCCGCTTCTGAGATTCGTATCAGAATGTGTTTCACTCCAAACTCAACGTGTCGTTTCAGAAGTTTAACGTCCCCTACATGTTCATCAACGTCGATCACATACGAGAGACACAGTAGGCATCCGAACCTGATTTTTTTGTCTTTCACGTCGAGCAGACCTCTCAATGCATACTTTAGCCCTGTCTTGCGGAGAATCGGCCGAGACTCGGGGTAGTTCCAGAGCACATTGTTCAGAATGAACACAGAATGCTCGGTGTGTTCAAGAGCTCTCTCACTATATGGTTTCCTGTTCAAGATTTCAGCCCTCAGAGCACGGTTATCCAATAGGTGGGTAACTACCAGTGTATGGATATCCTTTTCCATAATACTCTTGCAAAG